CGGTAAGGTGTACAAAGGGGTACGAAGAGTTGGTCTTTTAGGAAGACTTCTCATAAAGAGCCAAGACCACTTCCTAAATTAACAAGTATTTGTCTTTTTTTTTTTTTTTTTTTTTTTTTTTTTGTCCTTCAGAGAGACAATAAAATGAAGGGAGTGAAAGCACAGAATAGGAACTTGAAATACAACTGCAATAATTACTCATGCAATTGGCCTTCTCCAGGTGGCATTATAGAAACCTCCAGAGTACCACAGTTTACGCTTTTGCAAAGAGAGCTCTTACACCACTGTGTAACACAGCTACTGCTTCCTTAAGCCTTTCAGGAAATGAGGCCCAGGTATTTTTCCAAAATCCCACAGGATTTCTACTTTAACATAAAGGACCAGATGCAACCTAGAATAACTTAAGAACTGTGAAGATGAGTGGTACTAGATCCCAGGGATGGGACACAGGCATCACTGCACGGACACACTTGATTTCACAGTGATGAGCATACACACGTAGCTGGTTCGAGGCACAAGCTGTGACTTATCATTAGAAAATAAGGTAAAATCCAGTTCAAAATCCACATCTCATGATTTCTGGTCCTTATTCAGCACAAGTCAGAGTGCTTCCTATCTGCGTATCACACTCACGTTAGATCTTCCTCAAGGCTTGTTGTGGGTGTAGCATGAAGAAAACCAGATGTTTGGCTTAATCAAGGGTGTTCAAGTTACAGGAGCCATGCTCACAGGAAGCTTTTCACAACAGGAGAGCTGAGCTCTGCTGCCCCACAAAGGACTCTGGTCCTGTGACTGCTACAGTTCAGTCTTTAACATTCTGGGAATAATGTGATCATAGCCTTTCCTTCTGGTCACGTTATAGGACAGGAATTTAGAGTATTCAGTCAAGAGGTTCTCCCAGTAACAGGTGACATCATCCATCTGCAAGTGGTTTATAATGAATTGGCTTCCCCTAGAGGAAAGATTACCAAGAATATCTTAAAGCACAGAATTTAATAATAATAAATAATAGTTTACATTTCAGTCAGCTGAGTTACACCAAGCCCTATTCAGACCATTTAATATTCAATTGACTCATTTGACCCTTAGCTCTATATTATAATATTAATACTTGCATTTAGAAATAGAACTTAGTATTTCTTCCCTTAAAAACGAACAGATTACCACCCAATGCTCATCAAAAGTACTTAATTACCTCAAAATTCCACAGCTTGGGATATATATGTGAATGTGTACATATTTTTCTTCAGGTAGTTTTGGGGTTTTTTTGTAGTACCAGGGATCAAACTCAGGACCTTGGGCTTGCCAGGCAGGCGCTTAAGCCACTGAGCTATCTCCCCAGTCCTCCCCAGGTAGTTTTATTTCTGAATTGTCTGTCAGGAGACTAAGGTATAGATATTATCATGGTAACAATATTCAGGTAACTTTAGCTAGGGCAAAATGGAGATGGCAAACTGGGTGAAGTGGCCCACAACTGTAATCCCAGCACTTGGGAGGTTGAGGAAGCAGGACTGACAAAAGTTTGAGGCCAGCCTGGGCTACATAGTGAGTTCAACACTAGCCTGGATTAGATAGTGGACCCTGTCTCCAAAAACAAAAACAGGAGGGACCAAGTAAAAAAAGGGAAAATGAACACAGCTTACCTTTCAGCAATTTCTTGAGCTATATCATCATTTGCTTTCACAAATTGCAACAGTTCCCTACAATGAAAAGAATTATTAAGACTCTGAAACGTATATAAAACTCATTAATACTAAGTCAGAAAGGCCACTAATTATCTTTAGTCATGTGGACAGTATGTTATTTCTTTAAGGTAAAGATATTAGGGTGACATTGGCCAAGCAATGGCCGTGACTCATCCACATGGCTGCACTGACAAAGGTTCTACAATCTGAGGTACAGGATCTCAGGATAAATCCTGAGGGCATTTCACTGATCTTCTCAGACCAAAAAGCTACAACTCTTGTTGCATAGGTCCTGCTTTACCTTGGTCTTAACCATCCAGTAGAAAAGTATGAAGACGAAATATAGGAAATAAAGCCATGCTGTTAAGTTGAGCTGTGGGGGACTCAGGTCAATAATTTCTGACATTGCCAGTTAAACAGAAGACCCAATGCTATTATGGGTTACTGGACTCTTTTAGAATGTTTTGCTGAGTTTACACACCTATAATATTCAATAACGGAACTTAGGAAAAATGGGGTATACCGATGAATGTCCATTTTGTATCTGTGTATTCAAAGTGGTTGGGATAGATATATAGTTGCATTCTCTTAATGAATAGAATGATTTGTTCTAATGGGGTTTGTAAATAGGATCACAAGTCCACATCTTGTACAGCAATTAACCACTAAGAAGAATATATGCAGTGTAATATTTGTTGAAACTGTCCTAGCAATTTGATTTGAAACTGTCTCATTGCTATCTGTTTATCAATAAAACTTTGAAAAAAAAAAGATATTAGGGTGATTACAGGAAAAAAAAAAAAAAAAAAAAGCTTAGGCCAGAAAAACAAACAGCGTAGGCTAGAGGGCATGGTGGCACACGCTTGCAATCCTAGTACTATGGGGGCCAAGACAGGAGGACTCCACGTTTGAACCCAGCCTGAGCAACTTAGTAAGACCCTGTCTCACAATTATAGATTTTGGACATATTTGAGAAAAAAATAGAAATGTTCAGTGATATACTAAAACTTAAGAGTAAAAAAATCATTTCCATTTGTCTCCAAATTCTTTTTGTTTGTTTTGTTTTTGTGAGACAGAGTCTCACCATATAGTTCAGGCTGGCCTTAACCTCGGATAATCCTCTTGCCTCAGCCTCACAGGTAGTGGGGTCACAGGCACACATTACCATGTACAGACTCTGTTTCCAAATTCTTGTGCTGGCCCCAGAAGCAGGAATGGGATTCACATATTTTGCCTCACTGTATCTCTCCCAGTATCTTCCCATCATGAGAGGTAATGTAAGCTTTCCTTGGGTAAGTTTCATGTTATAGCTGAAATCCCACTTGATAACATAGCAGGATGAAATAGCCCTATCTTTGGTCTTTGAAAGACTGGATCCCTTTTTACTTTATAATGTCTGAATATTAACTGGAACCAGGATTAAAGCACTCTTGAATTCAATCCCACTCACAGCTTGTGTGGGAAGGAATCCAACACTATATAATATGTGCAAACCAAGTAAGTGGGAATAAAGTAGTCACTGGGAAACATCAAGAGTAAATGTCCTAAATGGCTGGACACTGCGGCCAACTGCAGGGTCCTTCGAGACTCAACTGAAAGATAGGTACTTACTGGACATTGGAGAGATCTGTTTTCACTGGGATATAGTGAACCCATGGCTTCAGCTGTGGATAGAAGAACTCTATCCACTCTTTGCCAACATGGAAAACAAGCGAACCACATAGAAAGAGGTGTTTGAACCGGAAACTTGCAGCTACACCCCGAAAATTAAACAGATACCTGGAAAAAAAGAACAAAATACCTGTATAGTTTATGCCTGCTGCTACAAATACAATCTTTTTTTTTCTTATTCCCCCCTCTTGTGATTCCTCTCCTTCCTTCTCATTTGCAGTTTGGCAGGACTCATCAGTATGCCTCTACAGGGTCACTATAAACTTCTTGCTTTTCCAGGACTAGGGCTGTACACTGCTGTGGGAATGTCAGCTAAGAAACAAGAGGGACACTTTTTCCAGACAGTTCTAGGTAAGTTCAGAAGCTGTGTGGTGCGTGGAAAGATTACAAAGCCCAGAAGGAAATAATAGACTGTTGTGGATTTGGAACATACTTAAGAAAAAACAGGAATGTTCAATGATGCACATTAAAAATCAAGAGTGAAAACAACTTCATAGGCTTATCTGTCTATGCCTAGCATCTGTAACTAGATACAGCCTCCAAAGTCTTGTTTCTCCACTAAGGACATCCCATCTGGTCAAGGACAATCCTTTCTTGGACATTACCTCCTTCTCTGAAGTGAAGGGGAAAGAGACATAACCTCATCAACCTTCAAAGAAATGCTAGGTGGAAAAAGGCTATCTTAGTCCACTGCACTGGCATAGACCTACAACCCCAGGATTCAGGAGAACTGGCATGACTTCAAAGCCAGCCTGGGCTGTACAGTCAGTTCAAGGCCACCCTTACTTACATAGTAAGACCCTGTCTTACCTCACCTTCCACAAACAAAAAACAAACATAAAAACTATCTTAGAAAACAGTAACATTTTCTTTTCAGCATTTCTTACACATGCATCTCTGTCTCCAAACAATTACCCTTACCCTACAGTTGTGGGTGTATAATCAGCATTCTTATCTCTGAATCCCACCATCATGCCCTCTATGCCTGTGCTTATGTGCTTAACACAATCTTAGTCCTGGCACACATGAATCACACATCACATATATGCTGAAGCTCAAACCCAAGGCTGTACCACTGAGCTACATACTCAGCCCCTCATTATCTTAACCCAATAAATAGTTAGACTTTTTTTGTTTTTGTTTTTGTTTTTTTTTGCGGTACCAGGGATTGAACTCAGGACCTTGCACTTGCCAGGCAAGTGCTTATTCTAAGCTATCACCCTGGCCCCAACCTGATAAATACTTAGCCTCATTTCAACTCTTGGATGGGCAGCATATGGAAAAAGAATATCCCAACATTTTAATTAATGGTGAGCTCTCCAGAAGCAGGGAAGTTTTTCATTCCTTTCCATAGTTCCCATAGAACTCAGGTCGATATATAGTAGAGCCTCAGCTAAATGAATTAATGCCAGATCTTAGTATTAAATTTCTCATCCAAAGCGAAGCTATTTCAGAAGCAATATGGAAAGTAGGAGTCAGGAGCTCAGGAAGTCATACTTGTATTTGCAGTGATCCACAAGATGGACATCTTTAGCTGCTGGTTTTCCCAAGGTATCCTTTAAGTAAAAAAGTCATTGGTATTAGTAGTAGTAGTAGCGTTTCTGAGCAACCCATGCATAGTAAACATTATTAAACTTTTAATAACTCATTTAAGCCTCATACTAAACATATGCTGGGGGTGTTATTATTCTCAACAAGTGGACGAGAAGTCAAGGTTTTCAGAAGTTTAGAAACTTGTTGAACATCATGTGACCTTACGACTTTAACGTGGGGCTGTCTGAACAGAATTTAAGCTCACCAGAAGCCATGCTGCTTCATGCTTTGAACTCAAGAGGGCACAACCTGCAACCCACCTCACTGTGGGTAACTACACATACAACACTGGCTGCTGGACTCAGGAGGACAGCACACACACAAACTTTGTTGGGGATGGAAGGCAGTTAAAAACGTATTAAAATCATTACCAATATTTATATGTGGCAGGATTACTTCTTAGAGAAATACAAAGTTTCAATTTTTCTTAGATAAAATACAAAGCAAGATCTGGAAACTATTCCCACTTGGTAGCAACCAACTGCATCTGTTAGTTTTCTCTCTGGCTCACTCCCCGAGTTCTTGAGCTGGCTTCTGGGGGCACTGAATGGAAACCCATGTACATCCCACCCTCTCTAGGGGATAGGGAGCTTGACAAGGGCAGTTCGTCTCCTTGGCTTTTACTGCCCCTAAGTAAACACTAACAATTTGCATGCTAAATGCATTTTTTGTACTTTAACTGAACAGTTTCTTAGACTCACTTGCTCAAAGCTGTATCAAACGATACATACTTATCAGATACATTTAATTCTTCCTCAAGAAGTTGAAACCTTTTTTTATAGCATCTTCATATGACATGGAAATTTCATGTGAGGGAATTTAGGGCTTTGAGTTCATTAATTAAGACAGTAAACCATAGATTTAACACATTCACAATGAGGCAGTAATGTATGTCTTGCTGCAGGTGGCTTGAGCCACTGGCGGTACATGCACAGCTGTCCCATTGGTGGCACAGACAGATTTAAATGCTTTTATTGCCCTTCTACAAATAAAATTATAAAACTCCTACTGATGGGACTGTCATGCATGTTCCACCAGTGGTTCAAGCTGGTGGGAATGTGACAAGAGGACAGACACATATTCTAGACTAAAAGACACAATTTCTGGCTTCACCTTAGAATCCTTTGGGGTGTTTTTAAAAATTGAAGATTCCTGGCCTTCTAGGAATGGATTCATTTGATTCACTGTTTAAGCTCTTTGGTTGCACTATTATAGCTGGAGTTAAGAACCCTTAGTTTAAACCAGGGTTTGGCAAATGGCAACTCACAGGACAGATCCAATGCACCACTTGGTTTTGTAGAATCCATTTTCAAAAAAAAAGCAGAAGTACCTTATGTATGACCTGTGAAAACTACATGAAATTCAAATTTCAGTAACCATAAATAAAGTTTTATTAGGAAAGAGGTGTGCTTATTGGTTTACCTGTTCCCTCCGGCTGCTTTCACCCTGCCACAGCAGGGGAGAATAACTAAGATAGAGACCACACGGACTACACAAATGAAGTCTTCCCTATCTGGCTTTCCCAGGAAAAGCTTCTGACCTCTGGTTAAACCTCCATAGTGGTATAATATAGTTGGCATAGCATGGCCAGAAAAGGAATGCATGTCTGAAATAGAAGAATTGACTTCTGTGCTCATACTGGGTGGTGGAACTTGCTCTGTCAACATTTATCTCACCACTGAGAGAAAACCCAACTTCAGATTCTACCCAGGTGGCAGTGTTCTCTGAGTGAGAATGTTCACTGCTGTAGTTCTATTCAGATGTTTGCTGATTACTTTCATAGATTTCCAGGCTTGGTTTTTGGTGTACTCTGCATCAACAAGTTTTGGATTTTTCCGAGATAGAAGAATGAGAGGATCCCGTTCTGGACTTGTCCTATAAAAGAAGCAGAGGACACATAACTATGTGGCCTATACTCTAAGACTGTTCCCATAACTGAAAGGTGAGTAGACCAGGATTTGGGCAATGGCTTCCAGCACAGATGGATAATTCACTGGCTTCTGAATTATCCACGCTTGCCATGCCCAAAGGGTGCAGTGGGGAGATAGCGGGTACTGCAGCACCTAGGGAGTGTGGGCTGGCTGCACTGTACCCTTTAGGGAGAGAGCGCTAGCTTTTCTTAGCTAGCATCTGGTCTCAGAAGATGTGCTGTTCTGGTCTCTATAGATGCATGCCATGGAAAGTTCATGTAGCCTTCCCTTTGAGGAAAGCTCATGCAGATCCTGTCATCACTGGTGCCCACAGCTATGTGACTAGGTAATTACCACTCACCAAAATAGCAACATGACCTTTGTTACGTACGCTTTATGAAGTCCAGCATAATATTTAAGACATAAAACAAAACAACTGAAAGGCTTTAAAATCTGAAACTGTTATGTGGAAAAAACTAGCTACATAGCACAGGGTCTTGACATATGAGGGGTTATGGATCCCCTGAGAATCTGAAAAATACATATCTTTTCATTTAATTTCAAGGAGTCCTAAAACTCCTGCAGACCAGCTATAAACCCTAAGTTAAAACTCTGTGGTCTCAAGAGCTGATAATCAGAAAAGTTAGGAACACTAAGTAGTAGGACCATATGTAACCTAAAATTTCCTGCCCAAGCTTGTAAACAGTTCACACAAAAACTGCAAAAGGAGGCCAGGGATATGACTCAGTGGTATAGCACCTGCCTGGCAAGCAAGAGGTGCTGAGTTCGAGTCTCGGTACCCACAAAAAACAAAAAAAATTGCAAAAGCTGCTGGGTTTTGTGGCACATGCCTATAATTCTAGCACTTGAAAGGCTGAGGCAAAGATTGCCGTGCGCTCAAGGCCAGCTGAGGTACATAAAAGAGTTCGAGGCTAGCCTGCTCTACATAGCGAGACCTTGTCTAAAAAAAAAGGCTTTTCACCCCACCCAAACTCTTCCCCTACCTTTTTTTTTTTTTTTTCGACTACTAGGAATTAAACCCAATGCCTTTGCACTAAGCTACACCCTCAGCCTTTTTTTATTCTTTGAGACAGGGTGTCAGTAAGTCTCTAGGTTGCTCAGGATAGGCTGGAACTTGTGCTCCTCTTGCCTCAGCCTCTCAGAGTGCTAGGATGACGATGTGCACCATCACACCTGCCTTTCTTCTCATGCATGGTCTTTTCTGTTCACTTGTCCCTTATATACCATATATCTAGCTTCTAGGCCAGCACTATTCTTGCAGCAGGGACAGAACACTGAACAGGACCGTGTCTCTACTCCCTCTGCATTTCCTTCTTTCCTTTTGTCTTTTTGAGACAGAGTCTTGCTATGCAGTTCAGGCTGGCCTTGAGTACACTTTGCACCCTTGAGCTCACTTTCTAACTCACAACAATCCTCCAGCCTCAGCCTCCCAAATGCTGGGATTATAGGCCTGTGCCATAACACCCGGCCTTTCTTCTCACACATTCCCTCTCCTTCCTATGCTCACCAGCCTCCGGCTGTCTGCTAAGCACTGTTTGGCAGCCATGTGGCCAAAGGGCTTCAAGTTACAGGACAAAGGAGCAGGAGGCCTGGAAACGATTCTGGTTCCCCAGCAGCAGCAAGCAGCAGAGTGGCCACAGGATAGCACAGGCTACCCTGAGGAAACGGTGAGCCTGAAGGCCCCATCTGCCCTGCTCACCCACAGGCTCGAGCATCTGGTGAACGCCTCTGAATTTCGGTTCTCGTCAGAGTGATTTAGGCAAATCACTGAAATCTTCTCTAATGTAAGATTCTGTGATTCCACACTTAGTTCTTAATTAGCTTTCTCTTTGAACCACAGAGTTTATTGTACTCTCAAGATTACTTATGTTTTCATGCATGGCTTAGAAGAATACTTTCGTAAAAGGTTACAAAAAATAATCACCTTGATCCTCGAAAGTATGCTGTAGAGTTTTTCTTTTTCCATGGCCACTGTGCTGCTGACCTAAAAATACAGGTTTTGATTAGTTTCTATGTATTTTCAACTACATAAGGATATGTTCTAACCATTTCTGAAGATCAGCTCAGGGATTCTCATTCATCTGTTCAACTTATTTGAGGCTGGGTCTCACTACGTAGTCCAGGCTGGTCTTGAATTCACTACATATCCCAGGGTGCCCTCAAACAGATGGTAATCCTCGGGCTTCAGCCTCATGAGTGCTGGGATTACAGGCTGGCACCACCATACCTGGCTATATTTTTAACTAAATCTGATGAAGGTCAGTAAAAAGAACAAGTCTAAAGGGCTTTATAATTCCTTTTGTTATCAGCTCATTGTTCTGGAGGGGCTTTCTAGAAATATCGACAAATCTCCCACCCCACTAATAAATTAACAACATTAATTTACCGAAAGAAAAGCTCCTGAACTCTAAATGGTGTGTTTAAGGCAAATGAGCAAAACCCTCATTCAACGTTAAAAAATAAATAAATAAATAAAAAAGTTTGATCCCAGGCGTGCTGTGCCGGCCCCACCCCCAGGGTGTGCTGAGATGGCAACTGAGACTGGGCGTGGTGGCGTGCACCTATAATCCTAGCGCTTGGGAGGCTGAAAACAGGAGGATCACTATGAATCCAATCTGTGCAGTGAGACCCTGTACACGTTGCACTAAATACTAAGTAAATAAATAAGGAACAGATGTAAAGGTTGTGTAAGATTTGTTTTTAAACTGTACAGTGTCTTTTTCTTTTTCTATAGTTAACACACACTACCCGATGTGTGTTTAGATAGCCCTGTCCTGTTCAATAGCCACTAACCTGGCCTCATACAGTACAGGGGCTGTAAAGTGGCATGGAAATTTAAAGCAGGTTCTTGTTGGTGCTCAGTGCAAATTAGTTATACATGAGGATGGTAGTTTTTCATCTTCAGTTGTCTCTGATGCAATTTATTCAAAGTAACTGTTGCTCTGTTAACTGGATATTCCATAATTAAAAAAAAAAAAAGTTGTAACTTTTGTTGACATTCTGAATGCTTCTAAATAAATACAATTTTTTTTATTAGTGAAATAAATAAATAAACAAGAAACCTCAGGGTGAAGATCCTGGGTGTATCCCACGTTCCACTGAATAAATAACCAAATGCCTAAGGCCAATGCAAATTAAAAAAAAAAAAAAAAAAAAAAAAAAAATATATTTTAAAAAAAAAAAAAAAAAAAAGAAAGTAGTTAAAGACTCATTCCTCTACCTCCTTAAAATTATGTTCAAAGCCAAAAGCGAGTGTGAGCTAGTGGTTTCAACATCAGGAGGCCTGAGGCAGCATCAGCCTGCACAGTACAGAGGACAACGTGCTCAGGACCCCGGACCACAAGCCCAGGTTTGCTGCTGATCTTCCATAAGTCACTTGACTCTCTGGGCTTCACTCCCAATCCCCTGAAATAAACAGTTGGACAAAGATGTTTTGTCGATCTGGTTGTACAAAATATGAGACATGGTTACATTTTAAAAATTCTCCAAATTGTGGCTGCCGGAAGAGATTTGCATCTCCCCACAGGGCTTTGGCTGCTCCTGGGGACGGGGCTCTCTGATTCTTCAGGAAGCAGGTGCACTCTTTAGTCTTTAAACTTCCAGCTGTCCTTGGAGAAATGATACATATTCACAGAAATTTGAATTAAGTTTTTGCTGTCTTTCCCAGAGAAGACTTAACATGGGATATATTCCAGAAGTTAAGCATTAGTGCTGATTTTTTTTTTTTTTTGGGGGGGGGGATTCTGGTTTGACTTTGTTTTATGGCTTGAACCCAGAGTCTTTGCACCAAACTATATTTTCCCTACTATACTACTCCTCCATCTTTTTTTGACACACACAAAAATTAACATATAGCCTCGGCCTCCAAAGTGCTGAAATTACAGCACACACCATCAGGCTTGGTTTAATCAAGTACTAATGCTTCTTAAATCATTTCTGTAAAATGCACATAACTATAGCTTAAATGAGCGCACCACTTACACGCTGAGATCATGCCAGGTAGGAGTCAGTCCACAAGTCGAAGTACATTTCAGTCACAAAGAAGATCTAAATTAAGGTCGCATTTAACTTGCTTTTTGGTTTTTTTGAGACGGTGTCTTACTAGCCCAGGTTGGCCTGCAACTCAGTGATCCTCCTGTTTCAGCCTTCTGAGCTGGGATTATAGGTGTGTGCCAGTAACCTCAAACTGCTGTGAACAGGCGCTGGAGATAACTAAGAGACCACCACGCCCCATTATGCCTACCTAACGCACTCAGTTATCAAGGATCAAGTATATTTATGTTCTTCCAAGGACCTTTCCACCTCCTCCCACATCGTGGCCATCCATTTTTCACCTAGAGAATCTTTACAATGAAGAAAATTTAAAAAATAAATCTAAAAGCTCTCATCACCTTCCCCACAAGGGCGCTGCTGATGGTTTAGGAAAGACTCTTCTGCCCTGTTGGTAAGTATGGAAATGCTTTTTTTATATGTGCTCAAGGCCAGGGAGAATGCTCAGTGGAATAAGCACTTCCCTGGCAAGCGCAAGGGCATGAGTTCAATCCCTGGTTCTGCCATAAATAAATAAATAAATAAATACATGCTCAAAATTCTTTAGGCTAGAAACAATTTTCTATCTTTTATTTTTAACTTAAAAGTCAGTTACTTTCAGGTAAATATTGCCCCTATTCTACTCTTTAGTTCAAGAAAATCCACAGAACAGGAGAAATAAAGCCTCTCTATGGGACCTACCTTACCAGATCTTCTCTGAAGAGGTCCCATCGCCCAAGACCTGTAGGATAAAGTGGCCAAACAGCAGGTCCCCCTTCCCAAAATGTCCATGCGGGATACATGATGTCATGGTACTCTGACGTCTTCATAAGGGAAAGAAAGGCCGTTGTAAGTCTTGAACAGAGCAAGAGGCAAACTGCACTCATGACACAGGGTAAGAGGAAAGGCCCCGCTCTAATGCCAACTGTACTGGCATTGATTCTGCAATCTACACATTAGAACACCAAAATGACCATAAAGTGAAACTTTGTTAAGCTCACCAAATCCCAGAGTTTGGAGCCATAGTAAAGCTCAGTGTGTTTAGTTCCTCAAAATTCTGTTTTACTGTATGATGTACATCCTTAAGCTTTTTAGTTTAGGGAAATAATAGGCCCAATTCTGAAAAACCATGAGTTCTCTCCTCGTTAATGACTCCTGTGATTACCCTTGGAGTTTCCACTGCTTTGCTCATTCTTAGTTATTTCCTACCATGCTTTTTGGCTTTTCTGATTTTTGTGTTTTGTCTTGTTTTGTCATTTGTCTGGTTTGTGGAGGTACTCAGCTTTTACACAGAGCTGTAACCCCAGAGTTCTTTGTTATAGTTAGGCAGAGACTCATTAAGCGACTAAGTCACCAGGCTGGCCTGGAACACCTCATCCTCCTGTCTCAGGCTCCCAGAGTGCTGACATTACAGGCATATGACACTATGCCCCATCTAGTGGCTGTTTTGAGAGCATGCACTAGGAAATACAATGTAATGTCAAGAGTGAGGGACTGGAGGCTGGGGATATAGCTCAGTGGCACAGTGCCCGCCTGGCAAGCACAAGGTCCTGAGTTCGAAAAAGAGTGTGGGTTCTTCAAACAGATCATGTGAGTCTGAAAATGAACTCCATATCTCTGGAATTCTAGAATTCTCTCTGGAATCTCTCTATACTTCTGTTTCCTTTTCATGGTATTGGGGGAAATAATATCAATATCATTTATCTGTTAGCTTAGTTTATGAATTCTTAACACATGTAAGAACTTGGGACAGTATCTGGTACTTAGTAAGTATTCAGTAATTGTTAAGTAGTGGTACCTAACACTGTGGCACTATTAAGTTCACACTGATTGGGCAGCAAATGCTTGGTGACTCACTGATGGGTTAAGAAGGGCCAATAAGGAAAAAGTACATTTCCAGGTGTCTTATGAGGAAAGTGTGACATCATCTGTTGCTTTTCATGGTCATCTTTATTCAACATCTGGCCAGTGAGATGTTGGTCTCGCTACTGTTTCTTCACTGCAAATACATGTGCAATATGCTGTTTGAGTTCTCCTAAACCTTAAAAACATGTGACCCATCTAGTACTTCCTACCTAATGGATGTTAAACGGAAGGTTGACAGGCTAAAATCCTTCCTTGGAAACTAGACATCACTGATTTTAAAAAGTGAAATGGAAGAGAAAAATGAAAGGAAAGTAAGTGTACTGACGGTTATACTTCATGACCCACACAAACAACAGATTAAGTAACAGACACAAAGTCCTTACTGACTTACATGGGAGCCTCTAGCTGTTCTTCTGGGAGTTTCATGACAAACAATGGGACCAAGCACTTTTGAGAAATGAGGCTAAACCACAGGCAATGCAATACAAATGTGGCCTCAGCCCACTTGCAACACAGGAAATAAACAAGTCTAGAGAGAAAGTAAACTGTGATAAAGAAAAAGTGGGAATTAAAGGGCTCTCTGCTTTGGAAAAACCAAGTCAGAGATGGGGTTCCTTTTCCCAACATCCATGGAGGGTTTCCCTAAATCTACTCTCCCCCACAGCACCTTCCAGCCTCTGTCTTCTAACCTCACCGTCTTCACCCCCAAACGCTTCCATACCTGGTCTCTGGGGAACCAAGGCCCATCCCTGTCAGTACACCATCCACATATACCAAGACTGTCAAGATATTCAGTGCTCAACATCTTTAAGCCCATAGGTGTGTCTCAGCTACTGCTACCTTCCATGGTGACTATCCCAGTATCTCTGCAATACACTGCCTGGGCCAAACCATGTGGAGCTATCTAGCACCATCAGGTGTACTTTTAGCCCTGCCAGACCCCTGGGATGTGGTGATAGATAGGAAAGATCAAAATATCATTTGCATTATCTAGGCAAGCATTCTACTTTCCTAGCTCTACAAATATTTCGGAGCAAGGGCACTCCCTAACTCCAAAGTCGTGATCTTTCTTGGATCCTTGTAGGCTCTGGAGGACCTCAGAGCCCCACCTAAAGGCCTTGCAGGGTTCTAAGGCCTCTTAGTTCCTAGCTTCCACCCCCAGTCTTACAGGCACTTAAGCCAACTTGCATTACTTATACATCCTTGAGTCTCACTGCTTGACTGTGACCTAACAGAGACATAGACCCACTCCTGGACCTCAGGCTCTGTCCTTACCCCTATCCACCACGAGCTACCTCAGGATGATAATCTCTTGCTAGCACCCTAAAGGACCACCAGCTGTTCCCTCCACCTTCATGTGTTTACCTTACTGAAGGAGAAGACTGGGACAGCAGGCTCCATCCATTTAGGAACTTGAGGATAGTCACGCACATTGATCACCATCTCCACATCAGGGAGGTGCCCAATAACTTCCAAAATAAAGTGCTCCACACCACTACACCTGCCAACCAGAAAACAGTCACCACAGTGGTTCCCTGCAGGCTCTAGGACAATGAAAGGTTCCAATCCTGTCTTAAAGTGACATAAGCCAGTGTTCAGAAAGCAATGCTGCTAAACAGCCTGGTCCGTTTTTCTTTCTTCTATTTTTTTCAGAACCAGGGACTGAACTCAGGCCCTTGTACTTGCTAGGGAAGCGCTTATTCTACTGAACCATCTCCCTGGCCCTCTGGTCCATTTTTCTGTAAGTTACCATTTACAGCTAAGCTGTTTCAGGTTATAACACAATAATATTTTCCCAATAAATCACCTTAGCTTTGAAGGGAATATTATTGTTACTCCTACCACTTCTCTGTTCATTTCCAGTTTTTTCTTTATTTCCCCTATACAGACAGTTTAACAGGCAAGACATGCATTTTAATAGGAACTGAAATAGCTCGTGTCTGTCTTCCTCAGGCTTTGTTTCTCAGAAACATACTGCTATAGTTAGGATCTGGGATGTCCCCAGGAGGCCCACATGTTACAGGCTCTGTCCTCTGCGTGGTGCTATGGGGAAGTGGTGGAAAACTTATGCAAGAGGTAGAGCCTAGTGGGAGGCTAAGTCATGGGGAGAGACCATTGTAGGAGACCATGGGGACACCATGATGGGATCCTGCTCTCTCTTTTGCCTCCCAGCTACCATGACACCAGGAACCTGCTCCACCATGCATTCCCGCCACAATATGCTGCCTCACCACAGGCAAAAAGCAATAGGGCCCAAGAAACATGTGCTCTGTCAGAGTAAATCCTTCCTATTGCTAAATAGCTCAAGGATTTTGTTTAAATAATAGGAAGCCAATTAACACAGACACCATCTTTATTTCTAGGTTAAGCATGTTTTATTCTTTTTTTGTTTTTGAGACCAGTGTTTTGCGATGCAATTCAGGCTGGCCTTGAGCTCACTTTGTAGCCCAGGCTGGTCTCAAACTCATGGAGTGCCTTCTGCCTCAGCCTCATGAATGCTAGGATTACAGACATGTGCCACCACTCCCAGCCCTAGGTTAAACCTAAATAATTTATGAAGAAAGAAAACCTTTCATTGGCTATCTTCAAGTTAAATACAGAACACTATTAAAATTAGCTTTGCAAGGGAGAAAAAATGTTTATATGATCCTGAGGACTATAACTTTATTTTCTGACTGAACTCCCTCGGATTCTCTGATTTTTTTGGTTTTTGAAAGTCTTGCTATGTAGCCAAGGCTGTCCTCAAATTTGTGGTGCTCTTCCTGACTTGGCCTCCCAAGGGCAGATTGCAGGCTTGTGCCACCATACCTGGCTTCCAGGGACTTCTTTCTCATTTTCTGTTTGCTTGTCTCAGACAGGGTTTTGCTATGTAGTTCAGGCTGGCCTTGAACTCACTTTGTAGCCTATGCTAGTCTCAAACTTGTAGTAATTCTCCTGCCTCAGCCTACTCAGTCTGAGGATTTCTTTGAAGGAAAAAAAACACTGATGGTTTTGCATGTTTATGTCCCATTCTTGGAGGTCCTCAACAGCAACATACTAGGGCAACATTCTAAGACTTAATCAAAATTCTCTGGCACCAGGCCAGAGAGATAGCTCAGTTGAATAAGCACTTGCCTGGCAAGCACAAGGTCCTGAGTTCAATCCCCAGTTAAAAAAAAAATTCTTGCACCATGGAAATGACTGCTCAGAAGTTTTATAAACCAGGTACGATGGAATACACCTATAATCCCAGCACTTAGAAGGCTAGGGCAGGAGAATCACAAATTTGAGACTAGCCTAGATTGCACAATGAGATGCTATCTTAAATTAATTAAAAAATTTCTCTCTAGGGAGATAACTACAAAATATCAACGGTTAGTGAACATAGGTATTCAGCTATACTAATGATAAACAAATGTCAATGAAATGATGATTTTACAAGTCCAACTGGTAAAGATCAAAAAGTCTAGGCCAGATATGAAAGTTCACCTGCAATTTCAGCAGTCTAGAAGGAGGACCCACAAGTTTCAACCCAGCCTATGCAACTTGGTGATTTAGAGACACTCAATAAATACTTAGGCTTCTATTTCTCCTTCATTCCAGCTCACCCTGCTAGACCTCATCAGCCTGTATACCATAGCTACTACTGCCAGTGTAGGAAGAGAAAAAAGGGCAGAACCACAGCCAGGCCTGAAGAAGAAAAAGGCCTTGATAGAGAAGCTGGTAAAAAAAAAAAAAAATTCCCAAGCAAGAAGAAGAGCTTGTTATTTCTGTATTTTGCATTTGCCCTGAAATATGAGACAGGATTTGCTAGTTATTCCCCCTCAGTTGGCTTCTAAGAGAAGTATCAAGTAAGACTGCAGATACAGGGCTGGAGAGATGGCTCAGCAGTTTAAGCACCTGCCTCGCAAGCACAAAGACCTGGGTTGTATCCCTGGTACCGCATGCTGTGCTGGCCCTGTGCCAAGCCGGCCACCAAAACTGGGCATGGTGGCATATGCCTATAATCCCAGTGCTAGGGAGGCTGAGACAGGAAGATCACCACAAGTCCACACTGCATAGTAAGACTCTGTACCAAATTAATAAATAAAAAGACTAAAAAAAAAAAAGACTGCAGATACAAATATCAGAGGATAACATCTATCTCTTAAGTCTTACCTTGAGGGAAACATGCAGTCGCTTTCTCGGTATAGTCTATTCTTAATGACCTGATAGTGGGTCCCTAACTTCCGTCCAACCACTTCTGCCATCATCTTCCTGGAGATGCCACCTCGGAAAGGTGACAGATCTTCTTCGATGACACTGTAAAGAATTGGAATCCTTGAGGCAAGCAGGCCAAGACAGTGGTGTCATTCTGTCCACTTCCTGAGTGCATCTGAGTTTAAAGCTAGAAAGAATGGTGGTCAGGACTCCAGATGTGAGAAGGCCCTTGCCTCCATGGGGGAGGGGGCATTTGCCTAGCATGAGGCTCTGGGTTTATTCCCCAGTACTGCCAAAGAGGCAGAGGGATGAGATGGCAGGAACAAGGAACAAAACAACATCAGTGATCAAGATACAACACAGCCAGGGGCCGGGGAGATGGCTCAGTGGAATAAGCACTTCCCTGGCAAGCGCAAGGACCTGAGTTCAATCCCCGGTTCCGCAAAAAAAAAAAAAAAAGACTAAAAACAAAACCAGAAAAAAAGATACAACACAGCCAAAAAAGAGTCAGGACAAGGCTCCATCTCGATTGCCCCTCCTGGTCTGATCCATATTCCCCTCTGATAGCCATGCTACATCCACGTCCTCCCAGCCTTGCATCCCTATCAACACCTCTGTGTATGAACCCTGCAGAAGGCACCATCCATCCTCACAGTCTAACACAGCCTCCCTCCATACATATACCCCCAAGAAGCCTGCTAGCAGTAGTCAGATAATAAGCTGTTTTGTATCTCTTGTAAAGCTTAGTATACAGTAACTTTTCCCAAAGTAGCATAAGCATCAGTGAGCTTTTGAAGCATCAGAACAACAGGATAGGGAGCTACAAGGACTCTGTTCAGCTGATGAGGACTCTGAGGACCAGCAAAGGTAAATATTTGGCTTGTCACATTGGTAATTAGAATTGTGACTAGAAGCCCAACTATGTTTTCAATGTATGTAGTTATCTCTGTACCACACCAAGCCCCAGACTAAGTGTATACGTTAAATATAACCAACAAGAAATTATTAGATTTATTACTAAGTATTTTCATTCCTTCAACAGTATTTATTGAGTACACTCATTGAGAAACAGTACCGGAAACACAACACAGACATAGGCCTGAGCCGGTTAAGTTGGTGCATGGCTGTAATCCCTGCACTCTGGGAGGCTGAGGCATCAGGAGCTACAAATTCGAGCTCAGCCCAGGAACAGTGACTTGTCTCAAAATAAAAACTTCAGGAAGGACTAGGGGTGTAACTCAATGTGAAGCCCTTGGGCTCAATTCTGTCTCAGGCCTCAATGGGGAAAACAGCCACTCACAGAGACTAAATCTCACAGGAAATTAGGGTAACACTCAGACCAGGAGCCTCTCTTCCTCTAGTGAATCTCCATTGTGAAGAGTGAGGAGAAAGACCTCAGGGATCTTTTCCTCTTTGAAGAAATGCTTGGCTCTAAGCATTGCAACCAAGGACTCTCAGTGATCTCAGGGTATTTTTCTGTGACAAGAATTTAGTTCTCAGTGACAGGTCCAGAACTCACCCGTGGTAGCAGCTGCAGTTTTGACTGGAACATGGTTCATAATTCTCCAAAGCCCTGTTAATTTGATCAATAAATACTTTCCATTTTGAACCTTCAAAAAGTGAATTAAAGAAGAGTCAATAAAATGCCCCTGAGCATTCTTACTTGCTAGCATCAGGCAGGCAGGCAGCCAGCACGAACAGACTCGAACCAGCAGAAATCCCCTTCCATCCCACTAGTGGAAACGAAAGCCTGGAAGACTCTTTCTGCAAATCGCCAGCGTTTAGATCAAGCCTGCTCCTCTGCCTGGGCCATCAAGTGTCTAAGAATTGGAAATGCAAGCTTAACGCTCGGCCCAAGAAGGCTGGCGATAAACTGAATTGTGACACGGATCGTCACCTTCTACTCATATTAAGCCCCATGGAAAGGATCGGTGAACAGCCACGGATATTAACCCTCCTGGTCTCTTCTGGCCGCACGCCCGCGCCCCTTCCCAAGGGAGCTAGGACTGCCCACGCTCGCCGAGGTCCCAACCCCGAGGACTGCAGCTCCGCGCGCAGCGGCCACGGCATCCTCCCGGCGCCGGCCGCGCGGGGGACGGCCTGGGCCTGCCGGAGCCCACCTGACTCCTTCTGGCGGCCCTGCGCGGGGGTTAGGAGTAGCAACAGCAGCCAGAGAAGAATCCGAGAGCTCGTCACCAGCTCCATCGCCCGCAGACCCACTGCGGAGTCCCGGAGCCGCGCGACGAAAGCGCTGCCCCACACAAAGATGGCGGCAGAGCGAGGGGGCGCCCCGCACAAAGATGGCCTCCCTACTCAAAGATGGCCGCCCGCTTGCCGCGCCCCCTCGCGGCCCTCGCCCCGCCCCGCGCTGGGAGCGGGGGCTTCCTAGGAAACCAGGCGACGGTAAGGTGCCAGGAAAATGCGCCCGATAATGGTAATTCCTTCCTTTCTGTGACATACTGGAAACATCTCGTTCTTTGCAGCCAAAAAATCTGAAGTCAGAGAGGGTACATTTCCTGCTGCACCATCAGTAGTGGCATAGCCAAGGTCTGACCACAGGAGTCTAGGCTAGACCTTTCTACAACATCCCGGTTCTTCTGGCTGAATTCCGTAGCTTAGAGTTGTGGAGTATGTGTATAGCATTGTTAGCTATCGAAGAATTGCAAATAGTACAGCACAGTCTCTTTGTGATAGGAATTTATAACACTTTGGACGACTTGGGCATGAGGTAAAAATTAGTGGTGTCAAATAAAATTTATGGAGAGCATCTGTTATTACTGAATTCCAATAGAACAGATCAAACCAAATGAAATCACCTGACCTACCTGTCAGTAAATAGGCCAGTTTAAAAACAAAACAAAACAAAAAAACCAAAAAAACAAAAACCCAGATTGACAACAGCCAGTAATACGGAGCCCTTTCTAGCTGAACCATTGTGATAAGGATTTGCACTCAGTTGTGTGTGTGTGTGTGTGTGTGTGTCCTTTGTTAAGAGCTTTTTCTGCTTGTAACCTCTACCTCTGCTCAGATCCTGTGACGGTGAACACTTCTTTAGGAAGAATCCTTTGCATAGTTACTTCCGGTCCATTTGCCTAGCACTCTATAAAGTTGTAAAGAGAAGGGCTCCCTAAAAATGTGAACTGCTACTTAATCTTTGACTGGTATTTTGATGCATGCTTATTGTCCCAGATAAGAAGACTGCGCAGGAGCATTGCAAGTGGGAGGCTAGCCTTAGCGATTTAGTGAGAGCCTGTCTCAAAAAAAGCTGTAGTCTAGCCAAGAATTCGTGGCTTCATTCCCCAGTAGGAGATGGGAAAGAGCAACTTTACATTTTCAGAAACCAGATATAACATTCAGATAACATCAGAATATGCAATTGCCCCTTCTTATTCTTTAATTCTGTGCATTGACTAATATAAAGCATGTCAATTGCTGTGAGGTTGAACTTGAAGAAGAGAAATGTCTGTCTAAAGAACTACAGAAATCCCTGGCATGGTAGTGCATGCCCTTAATCCACGTGATATAGGAGAAATATAACTCCCAACCCGACACATGTCAGATCTGTCACGTTTGTGTGTCCTGAAATTGAAGAATGAACTTTAAAGGACAATGCAAGTTAAGAATAGGGAAGGTTTATTGAAAGATAGCTCTTGAGAGACAAGAGGGGTGCCAAGTGAGGCTCTTTGTTGGGGTAATAACAGAGTCACAATGTGGGTACAATGTATGTTAAACTGTAATCAATTTATAGGATTATAAGTGGAGCTTTCAGGTAATATTGGTTTAATAGGGAAGTGGATCATGTAGTAAGAGTACATGGAAAGAACGAAGGGATTGTGGGGAAGGGGTAGATCTGAATGGTTTGATAACCCACCTGGATGTCTGATATATATTTGAATTTAATGTTCTGGATGATATTAATTGCAGTGTAGACTGTGAGAGTTCCGCTTTTCTCATAGGGAAGTATGCGAGTCTATCCATTGTGACTTTATTTTGGGACCTTGTCTTTTTTAGATGTACCTTCAGGGTCAGGGAGATGGCTCAGTGGAATAAGCGCATCCCTGGCAAGCACAAGGGCCTGAGTTCAATCCCCAGTTCTTCCAAAAATAAATAAATAAAAATAAATGTACCTTCAGCCACCTTTTTTTTTTTTCATAATTTTGTTGAGAAAAAAATATCAATGAGACAGTTTCAAATCAAATTGGTAGGACAGTTTCAATAATCGACACATTGCATACTCTCTTCCTAGTGGTTATTTGCTATACAAGAAGTGAATATGATATCTTATTTACAAACAGTGTTACAACAAATCCTTCTATTAAGAGAATGTAACTATATATCTATCCTAACCATTTTGAATACACAGATACAAAATGGACATTCATCTGTATCTCCTTTATTGTTTAGTTCCATCATTTGAATATTATAGCTGTGTTAACTCAGCAAATTATTCTAAAAGAGTTCAGTAGTCCATAATAGTACTGGATCTTCTGCTTCACTGGCAGTGTCAGAAATTCTTGACCTGAGTCTCCTACAGCTCAACGTAACACCATTGCTTTACTTCTTATACTTCATTTTTATACTTTTCTGCTGGATTGTTAAGACCAAGATAAAGCAAGACCTATGCAATAAGAGTTGTAGCTTTTGAATCTGATAAGGTCAGTGAAATCCCCTCAGGATTAATCCTGAGATCCTGTACCTCAGATTGTAGATCTTTTGTCAGTGTCAGCCATGTGGATGAGTCATGGTCATTGCTTGGCCAATGTGCTCTCTGTGAAAGCCTGAGAGAATGTTTTCTCTCCATGTGACTCTCCTTAGGCACATTCTACATCATCGATCACTTTCCTCTTCGGCCCCATAATCTCCTTGCTCAGAAAATTTGGGACACTACTGAGTTACATGACATTACAGTACAAGTTCTCACATGTCCTGAGTCTTAATTGACGTTGGAAGGCTAGGGCCAAAATGTTGGCTTTCCTTGCGGCCCTCCTTTTTCCTCTAATTTTGATCTGCAAACTTAGGTTGTTAACCATCCAGAAGACAAGCTTGTTGTTATTATTGAACAACTTAGGCTGTTAAGCTTAACCTCACTATCTGTCTGCATATCAAACATCTTAGGCATAATATGGAACAGGTATTTTTCATCAAGTATTGATATGTTAAACTTTAAGTCCCTACAGAATATGATGAAAAAACATTTAAAAATTATATTTTTAAATAGGCATAAAGAATTATATAATTCTTATGTTTACACATAAGTCCAGAAATCTCACCATATACAACCTTGAAGCAGGACAGTCCCACAACATTCCTTTTCCTGTCTCCTGCCTTTATTCACCACACCCTTCTTTTTAAGCAATCATCTACCACATAGACTTTAGCCACCATTTTGATGTCTTTAGTTTTTTATTGCCTTTTTTGAGAGCCCAGTCTCTCTCTGACTATGTATTAATTTTTATTTAACTTATCTGCACATAGTATTCCCCCCGCATCTGAAGAGCTAGCCCTAAAAGTGGTTAGGGGAAGAGGGGCATAGTTTTAATCTAGCTGTTTTGATCTGAGAAGGGTTAGTGTCAGGAAGACCACAGACAGGGGCCTTCTCCAGAGAGCTAATCTAATGGGTCTTGGATAGAAGTCATGTTGGAGTTTAATAGTCACGAACTTTCTTTAGAAGGTCCATCTTGTGGATCCCAGTAAAAGGAATTTGGTAATTTTTTTGTTGATTTTATCCATATGATTATTTGGAGTTTGGCAGCCTCTAGGCAAGAATAAACAAAAAGTTTTCAGAGATTAAAACACATATGACCAAAGTGTGAGCACTAGAATGGAAAGACAGATTCAGAAAAGAGCCATGTGTAGACACTGGTTGTTCTTAAGGGATTGGAATAGCGAGTGTAACTAGCTGGCCCACAGACCTGTTTATTGATGGAGGCTATCTATAAGTTTAAGTGCTTCTAGCTTTAGCTGTAAAAAACTGAAGAGTTTTGTAGTTTTGAAAAACAATTTTAAATATGGAATTTAAAGATTTTTGCTGAGTTTATATAACTTTAATGTAGATTTTGAACCTTATTGAATAATCACAATGGTTAGGTACAGCTGTAGTTGGAAACAACAGCCGAGGTCAGTGATTGGAGCCCCATTTTTATATTTAGCTGTTCTTATTATGATTTTTATTTTTATTTT